TATATATATATATATATACATATACATATATTATGAGAAAAAACTTTATATGCAAACGGGGCGGGTTTAATAGAAAAAAAAGGGGGCGCAGCAAGGAACAGAAGAAGTGTGTTTGAGAGCTGAATAAAACAATTAAATAAATGAAGATATAAAGAATAAAATAAAAAACAAATATATAAAACTTTTTCTTTTTTTTTACCTCAGTAACACCGAGAGGAATGTTCTTTATAGTAACCCGAGAAGCAGTGTCGGCGCGGGTCTGGGGTATGACGGGCCGCATGGTGTAGAAGGAGCTTGGTGATGCCATTTTATTTAAATTTTAATTTTAAAATTAAAAGAGTTTAAAGAATTTAAAGAAATATAAAAGTTTATAGCTTTCAATAAAGCAGAGAAAAGAAAAAGAAACACAGAGGAGGGGGCAGCCGATGGTTGCGCTGTGCTGGTGTTGAGGCGATCGAGACGAAAGCCACAGTAACAGGGTTTATTGGGGGGAGGAAAATGCGTGAAAGGGAATAAATATTAAAATAAAGATGAAATAGTAAACCATTTACATTCAAAACCTTGAAATATACAAACAAAGCAGCAGCTCCTGCACACCGCATACACCGAAGCAGCAGCAGATGCAGCTAGGCGAAGGATGCGGCTCGCTGCCGGCGGCTCGCTGCTGCTGCGCTCCGCCTGGAATCTGCCGGTAATTTGCATTTATTTTATCAATATTTTAATTTTTATTTGTTGAAAAGTATTTTAAAACTTAAAGAAAGTTATTTTATATTTCAACTCAAAAATTTTACGCAGCCTAGCCGCCGCCGATATTCGCCCGGTGGCTGTTTGCACACCGTCTATGGGTATCCACAGGATCCTGTAGGGTCGTAAAATACAGCAAAATAAATCAAATTTGTCTCGAATTAGTTCTTTTAAAACAAATTTAGTTATTTTGTTTATTTAATTTCGCTTTAAAACGAAAACAATAGACGGAAAAATGCATATGCAACACCGAAAGCAAGTCGAGCCGGCAGTGGTCCTGAGGCTGTCGTCCACTCGCGCCTTCTGCACACCACCACACTGTGAGGAGTCAGGGGGTTAAATCTATCGAAAGAGAAAAGTTTATTTCTTTTTATTTTATTTATTTTTATTGTTTTTAATTGTTGAAATAGTCCGCGTAAAATAAAATACTATTTGTTTCGTCTTTTTTCCTTGTCTTAAAGCAACAATATATATGGCGTAGGCGCCGACGACGCTGCGTACAACAGCCAGCAGCCGAAACGAAACTGAATAAATTAACATTTTTTAATGAATCAATTCAACAAAAAAATTAATTTAGAATATTCAAAAAAACTCTAAACACTTTTGTTGATTTAAATTATTAAACACAATGAAAGCAAAATACTGAATTTGTCTTAGATATCATCGTCGATACACCTGCAACGCTATACATATTTCGTTGAGTAAAGGAAACCAGCCAAGTTTTGTGTATAAATGAGAGTTTTATTTGATTAAAATTATTTTCTTTTTATAATGGAGTTGAACAAACGATGAAAAACTTTATTTTTTTCCTTTTCTTTCTCTGTATTCTTTCTTTCTCGCCGGTTGCTAGAGGCGAACCCAAAGAAACACCTGAAACGTGCAAGCTGGGTCATCGAGGTCTTCTATTTCATCTTCGAAATAAAAAGGAGATTTCAAGCAAAAACAAAAAGAATACTGCAAAAGAAATTAAAAAAGGTAAATTAAATGAAACTAATGAAGCTATTCCGCGTGAAAATACAAAAAATTATTCAACAGAAAAAGGCGAAGAAACTGAAAAAAAAGAAACAAAAAATGATATTTCAAAAGGATGCAAAGTTACTGCAATTTTAAAAAAAAATTGCTTGAAGTTACTGCGGTATTTGAATATGAATATGCATCAATAGAAACGAAACTTTAATAAAATATAT